CCAGATGCCCAGATGGAGAAGTCGTTACGATCGTCTGGGAATGTTTTGTGAACGCTTTTAGAAACGAAGGCTAAACACCTACTATATGCAAAACCGATCGGTCGAGACGCTGCGGACGGCCAAGTATATTCCTGAACAAGTGTATCGAGGGGCTCTATTATCTACTGCCGAAGCTCAGACGTTGAACAGGATCGGGAATATTGGAGATTATGTCTGTCGCTGCTGCCTCCAAAAGGATTCAGAAAGCTAAACGGTGATCGTAAGTGACTGATTGACTGAGTCCCCATTCATTTTTATAGCGTGCAATAAATGTCACATTTTCACACCTGAAACTTTTTCCTTTATTCTAAAGCTCAATCAGTGGCCAGATGTGAAACTCGTCCCATTTCCTAAAGATCCGATAAAGTGGATTGTATTGCAGCATTTCAACATTGCAACAGTTAACGCTTTGAATCTTAAGTAGTTTAACTTTTACATCCGCAACTTGCTTCAATCACTCAACCACGGACCGAGTGCTTTGACAAGTGTGAGCTTGGTGAAATGTCGACTTCGTAAGATTTTGCTGAGTTAGGTCATGCAAGCTCTTGTTTTCCTTAGAAGGCAGTGAATACCAAAACAAACGTAACAAGCTGCAGATTCGCTATCACCATTTTATTTAGCTTCACTGGGTTTATTCTAATTGGGTTCGAACTTTGAATCAACAAACTGCATATTCATCGCCATCATTTGCTGTGTGCTCGTCTGTACGGCATTTTAGTACCTTACGCTCACCTCTCCTTTGAAAGCAATTTCAGATCGCATTAAGTGGCAGCACAAAAAGCCAATCAACTAAAAATAGATTATTTGTTTACCTTGTACTACAACAACTAGCAACACAAAACATGGCCGAAGAAGAGGATGGCAACAAGCCGGGAAAAAGGTATCAATTCAAGATAATGCGATTCTCAGCCGATCGATCCTGTCGAAGGGAGACGAACTATCTGCGCAACTACACTTGTCCATAGTCAAAAGCGACGTACGTTTAGTGCGCCTGCAGGGGACATAGTTGCAAATATCAGTGGATGAACAGATCATGGATAATGAGCATTTTTCTGCCTAACGCATGGACACACTATTTCACAACAAAGGTCGCAGAGGTGGCATAAGCTGCTGCGGAGAAAATTCGACGATGGTGACGACGCAATGGATAAGGTCTGCTCTGAACGTCAGAGGTGCCAGGTTTGAAACTCATGCATACAAAATCATTTGTAGTTTTAACTACTATGTCTCAAGAAATTTGACATTGTGCTTGAGTGCAACCTTCAGAAAAACGAATAGCAAGTTACTGCAACCACGAGAGCACATTATTTTAGTGCGGTCATAGCGAAATGTAAGAGATATACCTCTATATTGGAAAATGATACGAGTGCATTAGGGCTACAATTCGCCGTTAACCGTTTTACTGCTAACTATATAGTATGTTAATCGGTAAGGTAAAGATGTAAAGGTCAATTTTT